ATGGATCTTACGCTTGTCATTAAGGTCCTAGGACGTCGCATATCTTACAACGTCCTCCATAACCGTATTTTCAACATATGGCAGACTACACATCCAATAAAGCTTATGGACATCGAGAATGTTTTTTTTGTGAAATTCAGCGCAAAGAGAGACTACCTTAAAGTGCTAACGGAGGGCCCTTGGTCCATCTTCGGTCACTACATTTCAGTCGAACCGTGGTCTCCCGATTTTCAACCCTCCCAGTCGGTTCCAAGTCGTATTATGGCATGGGTTCGATTACCTTTTTTGCCAGCTGTCCTATACAAAAGAAGTCTCATTGAAGCTATAGGGAACCAGATTGGCTTGGTCATCAAAATTGATTATCAAACCAATAACAGCTGCCGTGGACGTTTCGCTCGCATGGCCATCAATATCAATCTCAAGAAGCCCCTCTTCTCGAAAGTGATTATCCGTCCAAATAATATAATACGAGAACCTCCCCTCTGTTTGTTTCCATTACGGTTTTTATGGTCATTCTAAGGATTTTTGTCTGCATGTACAACAGGCCAACACAAACTTGCAAGAATCTGAGGCTGTCACGGTGTCTGATCCTCCGAGACCGGAGAACGTCATCCCTGAAGAACTCTACGGGCCCTGGATGCTCGTTAAACATAGACAAGAAAGGAAACCGTGCCAAAACATATCTCCAACAGCTGCAATTAAGGAGGTTACCATTTCTAATTCCAAATTCAACCCCATTTTTGAAGCTGATCACGATACTCTCTCTGATCCCACCCCAGGAAACCAAGCCGCAATTGATGTCACTATTCGTGCCACTCATCAAGCCATTACTTCCAATCAAAACATGCCTTCCAACGATTCCAACACCGTTAATAATTCCCTCCCTAAACCTTCTGCCTCTAAAGCTAAAAATAAGGGGAAAACACAAGTTTCCTTACGTAAACCTCCAACTTTCGCTCCACCTCAAAAACCTTCTGGGCATGCCTCTAGCTCCAACTCGGCAGCTGCCATCACCTTGCTTTCAAACCATCGATCCTCTTCTCTTAAGCCTTATGCTCCTGTTAACCCTAAACTGCCTTCCATTCATCGCAGTTCTTCTTTACCTCAGCTTCCTCATAGCTCTCCTAACATTTTGGACCCTTCGAAACATGTTGCTATTACCCTCAACGATAGTGCCAACCCGCCCTTGCCTTTGGAAGTTACTACAGGTTCTTCTGCTCTTCGTTCCTCCAATCGGTTAAATAGTGTAGAAGCTTCGGTTGATGGCCCCCAGGCCATGGTTGAATAATGATGTGTTTGCCTCTTTCTCTCATTTTATTCCACATGAATCTCAAAATATTTAATTGGAATGTTCAAGGCTGTGGTAGTCGCACCTTCCTTAGAGTGATGCGTCAATATTTACGTGATTCTCATGCAGATATCATTGTTCTCGTTGAAACAAGAGTTAGCAAAAACATTGCTGATAAGGTTATCACTTCTCTAGGTTTCCATAACTCTTTCAGGGTAGAAGTTTTGGGCTTTTCTGGCGGAATATGGTTATGCTGGTATGATCATTTGATTATCATGTCCTTTTTTCTCACTTTCAATTTCTTCATTGCCAGATTCGTCATAAGCAGGCTGGCCATTCCTTGCGACCTTTGTTTACGCTGGTTCACACGCTTCCAAGCGTAAACCTCTTTGGTCTTATCTTAATCAGCTTGCCTCATCTATCTCTGAGCCTTGGATTGAACCTGGCGACTTCAACGCCACTCTTATCCCTACAGACTGCCGAGGTTGTGCTCGTTCTGGAAAACCCGATAAAGATTTCTCTTCAACAGTCTATGACTCGTTTCTTCAAGACCTTGGTTATTCTGGTCCAGCTTTCACTTGGTACAGAGGGAGTTGTTCTGTTCGGCTGGATCGAAGTCTTTGCAACCTTCAATGGCTGGAATCATTCCCTGACACGGTTGTTCATCACCTTCTACGTATGAAATCCGACCATCGGCCTCTACTTATTAGTATTTTTTTTTGGATAAGTAAATTATATTCATAAAAAAAAAGTAGCTTAGCTGCTACAAGAACAAGGCAAGTCTCAGCACTAGATCAATCCCCAACCTATGCATATTTGCCTATTTACATCATCAATCCTCTGTATATTGTGGCTATACAATTTGATTTTTCCAACATCTTTTATACTATTTACAATCATATAAACAGAACGTGAAGAACCACTGAAGTTTATAAGGTTACGCTCCTCCCAAATGTGATACAAAAAACCAGTCCAAGCGAGTTTGAGAATCCGCACCCTGAGAGATTTACCCTTCAAATTAACAATCAGCCATTGGAGACGATCATCCCAATTATACGAGGGAGAACGAATCCCACAGGAAACCTGCACAGCCCCTCATACGTCCTGAGTAAAGGAGCAATCTACAAAGAGATGGTCTTGGGACTCAAGCCTAGTCCCACACAGAATACAACCATTATCCAAGATCAATCCAAATTGAATCAGTCTATCCTTCATAGGCAGTCTATCAAGGGTGGTCATCTAAACAATAAGGGAGAATTTCGGTATATGGGCAGGGAACCAAATAAGCCTGTGCCAACTAACTTTCTCTACTCGAACTCTAATCTGATCCCAGATCCATTTACCCTTGATCAGGTTCCAATTATCACAAGGAAGAAACAATTTCCTAGCATCCTCTCGAAGCTTCAACAGCTTTTTAAAAATCTAGCTAAAATAAGCTTTGTACTCAACTTCCCAGAAGCTAACAACTTTGAGGCAGTATGCACATATCCATGCAATCTAGAGTGAGCCATCATTTGCCAATATATTTTTAATGAGCAGTAGGCAACAAGCCTTACTCCAAAGTGCAAGATCCCTAAGACCCAGACCACCCTCAGACTTTGGTGAGCAGATCTGAGTCCATCTTATACGAGCACCCCTGGTTGGGGTGTCACAACCTTTCCAGAAAAACCGCATGCAAAGCCTCTCAACATCATTAGTGATCCCCTTAGGAAGAACAAGATGTCTTCTCCAAAAATTGAAAATATTAAATAAGACAGTTTTTACCAACTGCACCTACCCCTAAAACTGAGCTTTTTGTTGGACCATTGAGTTAATTTACCTTTAATTCTTTCCAATAGAGTAGAACAGTCTTTCCCTGTAAGTTTACGAGTAACAAAGGGTACTCCAAGATACCTGACAGGGAGTTGAGCTACCTTAAACCCAGTGGCTTGCTGAATTAGATCAAGTGTGTTTGCATTTAAGCAACAAGCAAAAAATTCAGTTTTCAGTGCATTCAACTTTAATCCTGATAGTTTATAGAAAACCTCTAGAGTGCTCTATACACCCAACACAGACTCAAGGGAGCCATGACAAAAGACTAAAAGATTATCCGCGAAGCAAAGATGAGTGAGAGAAATTCTCTTGCATTTGGGATGGAATCTAAAAATTCCTTTCTTGACAGCAACATTCAACAAGGAGGATAGGACATTCATCACAATAACAAAAAGATAAGGGGATAGAGAATCCCCTTGCCTAATCCCCCTTGCCCCTTTAAAATACCCCACCAAACTACCATTCAAGCAAATAGAGTACATAGGGGTAGTAATATAAGCCTTGATCCAATTACAAAATACATCAGGAAGCCCCACTGCCCCAAGAACAGACAGCAAAAAATCCCAGTTAACAGAATCAAAAGCCTTTTGTAAATCAATTTTTACAGCACATCTAGGAGAGAGATTTTTCGTAGAATATCCCTTCACTATCTCCTGAGCTAACAGAGTATTGTCAACTATATTTATGCCCTTAACAAAACTTGATTGATTATGGGAAATCAGACCAGGGAAGTAAGGAATAAGTCTATCAACAAGAACTCTAGTAATAGTTTTGTAAACTACTGAGCAACAAGAAATAAGTCTCAATTTCTTAGCCAAGATAGCATTTGGGGATTTAGGGACCAAACTAGGGCTGTGGCATTGAAAGCATGTAGTAAATAGGATGTTTGGAAGAAATACCTCACAGCAGAAATGAAATCATTACCAACAATGTCCCAGGCAGCTTTGAAGAAGCCAACAATGTAGCCATCAAGACCTGGGCTTTTATCCTTCCCTTGTCTAAAGAGGGCCTATTTGATCTCCACATCACTCACCTCCTTAGTAAGATAGATATCTGCACCATCATGTAGGCAAACATTAGTCAAGTCCTTCAAATTTCCAGCAGAGCAGCCCTTAACTAAGGGGTCAGGAGTGCCAATAAGGGTAGTGAAAAAACCCACTAGCTCAGTAGCCATATCTTTAAAAGATTCAAAAACTGCCCATTCTCACTTTTGATAACTCTGATAGTGTTCTTTTTCTTATTAGCTTGAACTTTCTGGTGAAAAATTTTTATATTCAAACCCCCTCTCTAAGCCAGTGTGCTTTGGCTTTCTGTTTATAAAAAACAACTTCAACAATTTCCAAATCCAGTAGTTCAGTATGGATCATCCTCTCTTCATCAGTTCTCCTCTAAGCTGTGTGAGCCAGATTAAATGTTTGTATCTGCTCTAATTCAACCCTTTTATCTCTATCTCTGCCACAAATGTCAGAGAAAAACTCATTGTTAAGCTCTTTAAGAAGAGGCTTAAGCCTTCTCAGCTTATTGAAAAGACAGTTCATATGAGATCCTGCACATTGAATCTGCCAAGAATCCCTAACTATAGTCAGAAACTTATCATGACCAGTCCAACAATTGAAGAACTTGAAAGGCTTAGGATGGTTGGTCATTGCTGCCTTATGTGACCACAGTAAGCCTAAACAATGATTAGATACCCCCTGGGCTTTGTATTCCACAAAAGAGTCTGGAAAATCCAACAACCATTGATCATTGACTAAAATTTTGTCCAATTTGCGGGCTAAGTAAGAGCCATCTTGCTTGTTGGACCAGGTGAATAAAGGTCCAAGAAAATGATGATCAATAAGGTCTAGGCTCTCCAAACACTCCTGAAAGTCCTTCATGTCAGGGGTACAGTGGACTCTCATGACATCAAAGTCAGAGCTCTCCTCAGCTTTGGCAATGATATTGAAATCCCCTCCTACCAGCCAGGAGGATTTCTCTGGATAGTAATCTCACTAGGATTTCTCTAATTTTGTCCGCACCAATTGGAATTATCCTGACTCTATCTTAGACACTATTCAAAATTTCAGTAGTACAGCTGCTGAATAGAACTCAACCCTTTTTGGATCCATAGGAAAAAGGAAGAAAATTATATTGACTCGGCTTCATGGTACTCAAAGAGCCCTTGAATCCCGACGCACTCATTTCTTGATTAATCTAGAGCATCACCTTTTGTCCGAACTTGAGCAAGTTCTTGGTCAAGAAGAATTGATTTGGTTCCATAAATCTAGCGCAAATTGGATTCAATCGGGGGATCAGAACACCAAGTTCTTCCAAGCCCTGCTCGTCGGAATTCTCACAGGAATAAGATTTATTCTCTTAAACTCTCCAATAGAAATTGGTATGACGATGATACTGCTCTCCAATCCGAAGCTAATTCCTATTTCAAGAAGCTTTTCTCCTTAGAAGCTCGTTCCCATGCCCCTAAGCCGCTTTATAATTATTTCCCCACCATCGATGGTGGCGAGATGTCTGATCTCAATCGCTTGCCATCTTGCAACGAAATTAAAAATGCCCTATTCACCATGGCACCTCTGAAAGCTCCCGGAGCCGATGACTTGCATGCTCATTTCTTTCAGAAACATTAGGATATCGTTGGTCCATCAGTTTGCAATATGATGCGTAGAATTTTTGCAGGTGAGAATATTCTGGCTGATAGTGAGTCTCCGAGTTCTTTTTCCGATTTCCGTCCAATTGGCCTTTGTTCCTTCTTTTACAAATTAATCACGAAAATTATTGTTCGACGGATTCAGCCCATTATGACACGATTGATCGCTCCAAATAAATCTAGTTTCCTCCCCGAAAGATCAATAATCGAGAACATTGTCATTAATCAAGAGGCGATTCAATTTATGCGTAAGAAGAAAGGTATGATGGGTTGTGTCGCAAATGTACTTCGGGTGGTCCCAAAATTACATTTTGAGTTAAATTGAATTTTACATTTTTAAAGTCATCACCAACCGTTTTAGATTAGATAAGGTTGGATACCTAAATTTTACTTTTAACCGGATTTACATCTTACCAGATATTCACTTGGAAGGGTTCGAGAGTTGATTACATGTGGAGAATGATGAACACCCCCACATTGCCCTTTCGGTACCAACACAGTTACAAGTTATCTTAATAATGAAATTTGAAGTTAGAGCCAAAAT